GATATATGAGGGATGCGGATCCCAAGTCTGCAAGAACAGAGTGGCAAATGTATATATATCTGAAGGATTAGTTAATAGCTGAGAGCACGATTGAGATAGGATGTGATTACTTTGTTGGTTTGTAAAAATATTATTTTAATAAACTCATGTAATATATGAAAAAACAACAACAACCCACTACACTATTCTTTTGACTTAAGCAAACACCTCTTTAGGAAACTCCAGGTCCTCCAATGCAGCTCTATGGTCGACATCTGCCAGACGTTGGTCACAAAATCATGCTGGAGAACCTACAAATGCCTAGAGAGACTTTTTTCTCTAGGAACTTCTAGGTCCTCCAGTACAACTCTATGGTCAACTTTGGGCAGAGCTGCGCTGGAGGACTGAAGAGATTCCCAGAGCGCACATATTAACCAAAAACTGCAAGCAATCAAATCCGCAAAAGTCAAAGCCGCAAATGCGGAGGGCCGACTGTAATTGGGTGACTTGGAGGTCTCTCATTCAGAGGGTCACCCAAAGTCAACTCGATGGCCAACCGTAATGGATGACCCTCTGCCCTGCTGGCCCTAAGAGTGGGCATCGGCTACCACCAATCCTGTCGAGGCAATAAAGGCAGACTCTATGCAACCCGGGTGCGAGTGCCGGCTTCCACGTCGCCACAAGCCAACCGGCAATGGCCTCTTTTGTGATGGTCTCCATAAATCAACGCCTCCATCTGCTGCCCCTTTGTCCTAAGCCTTTTCCCCAGTGGGCTTCCCACTAAAACACATCCAAAACCTTTGTGCGTCTGTCCCCTGGCTGCACTTCCCTCTTGTTGCAATTACTTTTTGAAGAGGCCTTTAAATCCAGCGAGGGAAAAGATTTATTTTCCTTGGCCCAAAGGTGGCTTCCTCTTCTCTCTTTTGCTCCCCCTCCTCCTCATTCCAAGGTCCCACAACTTGGAAAAGAACAAGCTCAGTCTGGATGGTGTTGGTGGTTGTGTGTCCGGGTCATTTTCGGTTTATGGAGACCCTAAGTGGAACCCATCATGGGGTTTTCTGAGGCTGAGAGGGTGTGACTCGCTCAAGGTCAGCCAGTGGGTTTCCACGGCTGAGCAAGGAATATCCATATGCATTGTTGTTGTGTGTCTTCAAATCATTTCCGACTTACGGAGACCCTAAGGTGAACCTGATATGGTTTCCTTGGCCAGGTTTGTTCAAAGGCGGGTTTGTCTTTGCCTTTCTTTGAGGCTGAGAGAGTGTCACTTGCTCAAGGAACACCTACACACATTGTTGTTGTGTATCTTCAAGTCATTTCACACTTATGGAGACCTAAGGTGAACCGAATTATGGGGTTTTCATGGCCAGGTTGTTCAGAGAGGGGTTTGCCTTTGCCCTCCTCTGAGGCTGAGAGAGTGTGACTTGCTCAAGTGGTGAGAGGGGAGTCGAACTCTCATCTCCAGAGTCACAGTCCAACGCAACGATTCCCAGCCTTTGGTCCTCCAGATCTTTTGGATTTCAACTCCCAGAACTCCTGACAGTTGGCCAACCTGGCTGGGGCTTATGGGAGTTGAAGTCCAAAACCCCTGGAAGACCAAAGTTTGGGAACCACTGGTTTAGAATAAAGAAGAAAAATGAAAGTTTTATATGGAGATTTGTGGAGGAAGATTTGGCTGGCCGGCCTAGAGGAATGGCTAACAGCCCGATGACACAAGATGGTTGTTGTGAATGGCGTTGGGTGTTAAAGGATTTAATTTAATCACATGCAGATGGAGTTGTATATAATAAAAAGCAGCTGTTGCAATTCGAAAAAATGTACCTCGTCTCCCTCCCCAAATGTGAGGTTGAATGAATGCTGAATGGGATAACAGAAACCTGCCCAAATGACCGGCCACTTGCTACAAATGCTGTGGCCATTTGTCTTGGGACAAATGGAAGTCTAAACTAAAGGAGCTCCATTCATTTTAACAGAGAGGGACTGATCCACCAGATCCTTTCTGATTCAAAGGTTTGAGCTCTGATCCAAGTGCCTTGAACCAGACAGAAGCCAGCAGAGTGATGCAGCTGCTAAAAAGACAAACATAATCCCATGTATTTATTTAGGTATTTATAACCCACCCTTCTGCCAAAAAAGGCTCCCAGGGCAGCTTATGTATTGTTCCTATTGACAGTTTCCTGCTCAGGTTTAGAATCTAAAAAATTCTGCTGCCACATTGCAGAATTAATGCAGTTTGAAACCGCTTTAATTGTCCTGGGAATCCTGAGGTTTGTAGTTTGTCATGGCACCAGAGCACTCTGACAGAGAAGACAAAATGTCTCCCAAACTACAAATCCCAAAATTCTATAGTATGGAGCTGTGGCAGTTAAAATGGTGTCAAACTGCATTAATTCTGCAGTCCAGATGCAGCCATGATGTTTTCTTTTCTCCTTCTAAGAGTTATATATAATAAAAAGCAGCTGTTGTTCACAGCGCAGAGGCAACCGAAGGACCAAGTTAGGAAAAGTTCCTCTTTTTTGTGGCATGGTGGTTTGTGGCATGGTTGGTTTACGACTCTGGAAACCAGGGTTCGAATCCTGGCTTGGCCATGGAAAGTCACAATAGCAGCTGGGATGGATAGATGGCTCTGAAAGTTGGGAGTTTAGTAAATGTTGTTGTAGCTGAGTTCCTTCAAATCATTTTTGACTTACGGCAACCCTATCATGGGGTTTCCTTGGCCAGATTTGTTCAGAGGAGGCTTGCCACTGCCTTCCCCTGAGGCTGAGAGAGTGTGACTTGCCCAAGGTCCCCCAGTGGGTTTCCATGGCTGAGCAAGGATTTGAACCCTGGTCTCCAGAGCCAGAGTCCAACACTCAAACCACTGCCCCACTTATGGAGACATCAGTATGGAGACCTATCATGGGGTTTTCTTGGCAAGATTTGTTCAGAGGAGGTTTCCCACTGCTGTCCTCTGAGGTTGAGAGAGTGTGACTTCCCATGGCTGAGCCAGGATTCGAACCCTGGTTTCCAGAGTCGTAAACCGCTCAAACCACCATGCCACAAAAAAAAGAGGAACTTTTCCTAACTTGGTCCTTCGGTTGCCTCTGCGCTGTGAACAACCTCCTTCCTAGCAATGGACCTTGCAGTGTGGGCAGAAAGATTTCTGCCGGGGATCCTTTATTTTTTGGAAAGGAGGCCAAGTGGCTAGACCTCATGGCGGAAATCATCCTCCCAGCCCAGCATTGCCAAACAAAACAGGGGAAGAGAATTGCAAAGGCAGCATGTCTGGCTGCTAATGGGATGTTGAGGGCTGGATCCCAATAGGAATTCAATGCGGATTCAATAAAGAAGCCGGCAACCTCCCCAAACAGCCCCACAGTTAATTAGCGTCAACAGGAAACCTCAAGTTGGTTAATTGATAGTTGGCTTCAGCAGATCTAAACCTCAACTTAGCATCCCTTGCCGGGGACTAGCAGAATTAGAACTCGGTTCCATTTGCAGCCGGAGCTATTACAAGGAATGCATAGCACATAACCACATGCATCTGTCATACATAGGGACCCGAGTTCAGAAACCCGGGCTTCGGGAGCGAAAACACAGAAAACCTTTCTTTGGAAAACTATAGCTCTTCTCCATGGACATTTGCTGTCAGAACTAAGCACTATTAAAGAAAATGGACATGTTCTGATGAAACCAGACAGAATTTGAGAGACAGCGGTGGTGCCTTTTTCCAGCCCTCTCTGAAGATGCCAAGAATCGAAGCTGGGACATCTTCCGTGAATATTTATTTTATTTTGTTTCATTTCCAGAAAGGGATCCAGTGGGAAAACCAGTCTTCTGCTCCAAAGCTAGGATCCTTCCCTCCAAACATAAAGCAAGTTTCTAGTCCTTATGAGGGTGAAAAAAAGGGATAGTTTTACAAAGGAACCCAAAGAACTCTCTTAGACTGTCAAAACCCTCATCCACTTTCCCGGTTTTATCTAAAACGGCTGGAGAAACTACTACCTCTGTGCATCTGGAAGGATTTCTCCCCCAGTTCTATCTGGAGATACTGGAGATCCAACCGTCGATATTGCAAAATTGCAAAATGGGTCCTCGGCCCTTCTTCTCCAAAGTCACCCCGAAGGACGGAACAAGGATAGACATCGTGCTAACGAAACAAAAAATATATATCGCCTCGACTGATATTGCATTAAGTCGTGGAAATTAATGGCCAGAACAGGAGCTAAGTGAACAATCCTACATACATATCCAACTCCCAAACCACTACACCACCCTGGCTCTAAAGATTTTCTTTTTCAGAGGGGTTTTTGCCACTGCCTTCCTCTGAGGCCGAGAGAGAGTGACCTGCCCAAGGCCACCTGGTGGGTTTCCATGCCTGTGTGGCAATTCAGGCCCTGGTTTCTTAGAGTCCAAGACTCAAACCACTACACAACCCTGGCAGTACCTCACAGAGGAGCCTTCGGATTAGAACGAGCCAGGATTTTGGAGAGCGAATTCTGCAACGTGGGAGCCACCACCAAAGAGACCCCGCGCATCCCTTCCCTTGCTTAAGCTTACCTGTGCCGATAAAAAAATCTTTCGCCGGGTTGCTTCCCCCAATTTCGGAAAGGCCGAGAGAAGCGATCCGGCTGGGCACACTTGGCACACCGCCTTTGGATGCTTTGCCCTATTTGCAAATGTAGATCGGGATGGAATTTGGAGGCATGCCTTTGGGTCTTTGCGCCACTGCTTAATGCTTGGCCTTCTTTACCCACACAGCCTTCCCCATTTGGCTGCTAAACCAAAGCCATTTATCTCTTTCCTCCTTTCCATGGTCAGGTTTCGAATCTCGTCCTCTTCTCAATGGTGAACCGAATCCTCTTTAAGGAAATGGCAACGGTGGGGGACGGAGGGACAGACCCGTGTCCCTTTTCTGCCATCCGATCCCCTTGTTGGGTCATCCTTCTCCCCCCTCCACCAGTTGTTCCCTTCCTCTCTCTCATCCCTCTCTCTTCCACCCCTCCTCAGTTTCTTCTTTTCCCCTACACAGACAATAAACCAGATCAAGTTACTGGCCCTCATTCTTTGGCATTAAAAAGCATGGCCTTCTTTCTTTCTCTTGGCTATTTTTTTTTCCATAGACAGTCCTTCACTGTGCTTCCCACCATCACCCCCCTTGGAGGAAAAGCAAGCAGGATGGGGTTACCGGTTGCAACCAGAGGCACCAACCAGCCACAATCCTGGGGACAGGTGGAGAAAAGAGCCTGCGGTGAAAGAGGCTCCTAGGGGTGCTGTTGCACAGGGTGCCACTAGGGGAGGCTATAGCCTGAGGTTTTCTATTCCATGGGGAGTAAGACAAGAGGATACTGGACACTGTATTCCAGGTGAGCTCCGACCAAGGCAGAACAGAGCGGTAATAATACTTCCATCAATCTAGACACTGTACTCCTACTGATGCAGCCGTGGACCACGTTGGGTTTTCCAGCTGCAGCATCACACGCCTGGCTCCTGTTCAGCTAGGAGGCTTAGTGGACCACAAGCCAAATGTGAGCCAGCAGTGTGATGTGGCGGCTAGAAAAGCCAATGCAATTCTAGGCTGCGTCGATAGTATAAGGAAAGCAATAGTTCTGTTTGATTCAGACTTCACTTGAAATATTGGTCCTCCAGGTATTTTTGGACTTCAGCTCCCCAAAGCCTCAACCATCTGGGCCAATGCTCTGGGATGCTGGGAGCTGAAGTCTAAAACACCTGGAAGGCCAGAGTTTAGGAATCAATGGTCTCAAGGTTATAGTGTTACTCTATTGTGCTTTGGTCCAACATCAGCTGGAATTCTGTGTCCATTTTTGGCAACCAAATTCAAGAAGGATGTGGACCAGCTGGAGGGTGTCCAGAGGAAGATAGCCAAAATGGTTCAAGGTGAAGAAACCATGACTTGTGAGTAACTTAGGGAGCTGGGTAGGTTTAGCCTGGAGGAGATGAGGTTAAGAGAGGACATGACAGCCATGTTTAAATATTTGAAGGAATGCCATATTGAGGCTGGAGCAAGCTTGTTTTCTGCTGCTCCAGAGAACAGGACATGGAGCAATGGATGCAAACAGTAGTGATGAAAGCAATGAGGTGTAAAGTGTACAAATCACTGTTTTGTTATTTACGTTGTTTCTCGGTTATACAAATAAATAGATTTTAAAAAATCTCTCAGAACTACAAACCCCATAATTTCAGAGCATGGAGTATCAAACTACATTAATTCTGCAATGAAGATGCAGCCTCAGATTTGCACTGAACCCTTTCCTCCTGCCTCCAAACAGGAGGATTTCGACCCTCATCTCCCATCTGGAGATGGCCCATGAAAACTGCTAACCAGGCCCTGAGATTTGGCAACCCTACATTTGAATTTGTTGTAAATCCCAATCCCCTCAATCCCAACCCTCTTGCGATGAAATTGGAGGGATTTTGAGTCGTTCTTACATTCTCTCCTCCCCAGCTCAGTCCACCCATTTGGATGTTTTTGCATTAATCTCCACAAAAGGCTGCCTCGACAACACACATTTCCAAATAGGTTTGCATGCTCCTTGAAGTGGAAAGGAAGCCCCGATAATATTCCAAGAAATGCAGCTTGGAAAACAAAGCAGAACAAGATATCGGTTTAACAATGCAATTTATCAGCTGTTGTTCTATCCTGCAATGCAGTTCCTTCACTGAGCAGGGAGTTGTATTAGATCGGGGTGGACAACTATGGTGGGTATTAGGGCCATGCCTTTGCCCCCAAAACACCCCCCCCAAAAAATGCAAAGCAAAAATGCAAAGGAAATTCATAGGGTGTGAAATCACCATATACGCTGATGATATGTGTATGTTTGAATGCCTTCAAGTCATTTCTGACTTACGGTGACACTAAGGCGAACCTATCATGGGGTCTTCTTGGCAAGAAAGGAGGTTTGCCATGGCCTTCCCCTGAGGCTGAGAGTGTGTGACTTGCCCAAGGTCCCCTAGTGGTTTTCAGAGGAAGTAGCCAAAAGTCCTCTTCTATTTAGGGGTGGTGGCATTCGTTTTAAGGTTAAACAGTGCAGGAGAAAGGTGGCCACCCGTTTAATATGTGGAGGGCTTCTCCTAAGCTCTTCCATTCTAGATGGAAGGAAGTCAGACTCCCACTGTATTCTGCTTTGGTCAGACATCATCTGGAATATTGTGTCCAATCCTGGGCACCCCAATTCAAGAAGAATGTGGACAAGCTGGAGTGTGTCTAGAAAAGAGCCACCAAGATGATGAAAGGTCTGGAAACCACCAAACCCTACAAGGAGCTGTTTAAGGAGCTGGGGATGTTTAGCCCAGAGAAGCGAAGGTTACGAGGGGACATGATAGCCATGTTTGAATATTGGAAGGGGTGTCAGGTTGAGAATGGAGCAAGCTTGTTTTCTGCTGCTCCAGAGACTTGGAGCAACGGATTCAAGCTACAGGAGAAGAGATTCCACCTAAATATTAGGAAGAATGTCCTAGGGGTAAGAGCTATCCGACAGTGGAAGATGGAGGGTGGTGGAGTCTCCTCTTTTGGAAGCTTTAAAACAGAAACTGTCATAGAGGGTGCTTTGATGGTGTCTTCTTGCATTGCAGCATGGGGTTGGACTGCATGACCGCTGGGGGTCTCTTCCAACTTTATGATCCTAGGTGTCACTTGTACTGAGATATCAAGGGCACAGATATCATTGGAGGTTAGATTGACTCAGGTACACTGCCTTAAACTCTGCTGAGTGCAAACTACTTTTGCAGAGTGAATTCAGTGCCTTAAACTCTGCCGAGTTTACTCGATGCAAACTACTTTTGCAGAGTGAATTCATCTTGCTGCAAATGAAGACAAAGGGGGAAAACTAGGAGGAGGAGAGAAGCCAGGACAGTGCAGTGCGGCATTCAGCCAAGC